TCTCTCTTCCAGTATAATAGAGCTTCTGAGGGTAGCTGCCTTCATTGTCTATAGGAGGAGGTCCCAGCCCCTAAATGATTTTGATCATATTCTTCCTGAACATTAAAGCAATTGGCTCACGCTTAAATTGCAGCTACCTTGAATATCTCCAGAGGAAGAGTGGCCTTTAATACTCCAAAAGTTTGTCGTCTTTATTATTATTTTTGAGACAGAATCTTGCTCAGCCACCCAGCTGCAGTGCAGTGGCATGATCAACTCAGTGCAACTCTGCCTCCCGGGCTGGAGCGATTCTCGTGCCTCAGTAGCTGGGAATACAGGTGTGCACCACCACACCTGGCTAATTTTTATATTTTTAGTAGAGATGGGGTGCCACCATGTTGAACAGACTAGTCTCAAACTTCTGACCCCCTCCCGCCTTGGCCTCCCAAAGTGCTGAGATTACAGGCATGAACCACCGTGCCTGGCCGTTTATCCTCTCAAGGATGGTCAGGGTGACATTTTGGTGTCTTTCTCTCTAGACCTGAGAAAGCATAAGTTATATCTTTAGTGGGACTTCTTACCATAGGGTTAATAATAATGTTTACCTTAGAGAATTATAGTCAGAAAGAAATGACATAATACTTGTAGTGAAGTAGCATGGTACTAGAGACATGTTCACATTTGTTGGTTTTAATTATTATACTGATAATTCTGGTGGTAATTAAGCACATCATTATAATCACAGTGAACTCAAAGTAAGAATCAGAAATCCATGGTAACCTTGAGGGCCATCAAAAGTCATAGACACCGTGCACAGCTTTCCGATTTTTCTAGTCTTTTTCTTGCTTCTTCCCCTACTCTCCCCCGAATTTGGTCCCCTATGATTTAGGACTGCTAGTAGGGTGACTAGTTCTATTAGCTAAGTTTGCATTGAGCTGAGGGATTCTTGGAAGGAACGTGGGACTTTCAGTGTTGACATTGAGAAAGTCTCCTGAAAACGACAAGTTGGTAACCCTAATCCCAGCGGTGCTCATCATGTGCCTCAGCACTCCAGGGCCTTCTGAATTAAAGAAGCAGCCAGGCAAAGTGTCAGCTTGTCTTGGCCTAGAAGCCCAGAACTTGTAATTCAGAAGAAAAGGGAAAGGGCCAGTTCTGCTCTCAACTGTGTATAAAGGGACAAAACTCACCATGTGTATTTCAACAACGCTCATGGAAGAAATTCAGAAGTGGTCATTTTAGGTTAGGGTAAATTCAAAAAAATGACAGAGTCAAGAAAACATTATCCCAGGGGTCAAGGATGACTCGAGCTCTGCCTACTGAACTCCTCCTTGTCCCAGTCTTGCTAATCTTATCTTCAGGGAGAGTTTTCGTTAGAAAATACCATTAAGGGTAAAACGTGGTGGCTCACACATGTAGTCCTAGCTCTTTGGGAGGCCAAGGCAGGTGAATCCCCTGAGGCCAGGAGTTTGAGACCAGCCTGGCCAACATGGTGAAACCCTGTCTTTACTAAAAATATAAAACTTACTCCTGTGTGGTGGTGCACACTTTTAACACCAGCTAGTCAGGAGGCTGAGGCAGGAGAATCATTTGAATCCAGGAGGTGGAGGTTGCAGTGAACCGAGATCATATCACCGCACTCCAGCCTGTGTCTCAAAAACAAAAACCAAAACCAAAACAAAAATAGACTATTAACATTTTTTAGTTGTGAGAAGATATAAAAATTTCCATCTTAACCATTTTACGTATATAGTTCAGTCACGTCAAAGTACATTCACATTGTCATGCAACCATCACCACCATCCATCTTCAGAACCCTTTTCATCTTGCACAGTCTAAACCCTTTTCATCTTGCACAGTCTAAACCCTTTGCTCATTGAATAGCTCCCTATTCCCTCCCTCCCCACAGCCTCTGGCAGCCACCATCCTACTTTTTGTCTCTATGAATTTGACTGCTCTGGGTACCTCATATGACTGGTATCAGACAGTATTTGTCTTTTTGTGACTGGTTCCTGAGAAACACTTTTGAGATGACTGGTTGGAATTCAGAGCAGGTGGCACCACAACTGGCCCAGGTTTCTCATCTCCTTATTCTCCTTTTTCCCTGTTAAACCAATACACCTGTGGACATGAGGCTCTCATCTCTGCGGTCCCTAACACAGTGGTTCTCAACCTTGTTTACACATTAGAATCCCCTGGGAAAGTTTTCAAACGACTCTTGCCTGGACCAGATTCCAGGCTAATTATATCAGAATCTCAGGGAGTGAGGGCTTACATATGCATCGTTTAGAAAACACCCTAGACATCTCAAATTTGCAGCGGAAATTGCTGTCCACACCAAGTTGATGAGCTGAAAAGTAGAATAACTGTGGGTAAATCAAAAGAGTTTAAAATAGATGGTCTTTAAGGTCTTTTTATATTGTAAAATGTGCAAAGTCATGTAGTATCTTTCTAATTCTCAACCAGCAGTGGTTGAGTGCATTCTCCTATACCGGAAGGGAGCTGGGTGGACACTCTCTGGAGTGTGGCTCCCCCTGCAGTTCAGTTTTATGTTGGGACCACCCACTTTAGAACCCTCTTAGTCACCCAGGTAGGCGCTGGACATTGTCATTCCCCTATCACGTGCATTCAACAAATACTTACAAAGATGGGTCACCTTTCCTTTTAAAACACGCAAGCCAAGAGATAATTAAAATTGTGCTCATTCCATCGACTTCTAAAGACCGAGAGATTTCTAAATAATTTTAAGGCTGAATGAAGGACGCTGCAGGAATATTGATTCCAGCTTTGTGCAAGAAATAGTTTTCTGCAATGAGAGTGGTTTAATAGAATGAGGAGCCCTGTGAAAAAGTGATTCCCTTGGTCCTAGTGCTACACACTTGTAATTGGAATACTGACTATAATGGATGCCAGAGGATAAGATTCCCAAAGTAGAAGAAACTAGACTGACTTATGAGGCCCTTCTAACTCCAAAATGCCATAATTTTAAAGCCAGATAGTAGAAGAACTACGTAAGATGTAGGAATGACTTCTGAACTGAGAAATGAAGCAGCTCCAGAGTTCTTATTATTTCAGCTTTCAGCCACTCCCCAAGGACTGAGTTATTAACTGTAAAATAGCCAAAAATGAACACAAATGGGTCTCATTATCAAGAAAATTCATTATAGTACATAAGAATCAGAACTTCTAAAGAAGATTAATTAGGGGGTTGATTTTTTGCATTGCAGAATAATTCCTGACTTCATGAAATCATTTTTGGATACTAGAGTTCCTGTGAGCATCTTAGTATTGATTTATAGGTCACCAGTCACTTAGCCAAAGTGCCTGGCAGAGTAAACTCTTAACTCTAAAGAACTAACCACCGCTCTTTAGTGCTTCTCAACACTAAACATCTGAAATGTTTATTATTTCCTAATTGTCAAGGAAAACAATATAATTTCACAACAGATATTTAGACACTCCATCAGAAAACACAAAACATCCAAAAATTCAATGCAGAAATAACTACAATTTCTTGAGTAGTATAATATATCAAAAATGTCACTGTGTTTAATCCTCTCATAATCCTAGTAAAGCAATATATTATTATCTCAACTTGGTCAAGTAATTTATTCAGGAGCACTAAATTATGTAAAAACCAAATTTTTCTGATTCTTTCCCTTACACCAAGTTCCCCAATCAGCATCTCTTAGAATAAACTTGCTCACAAACAGCTTGGAGACCATGTGTGTTTGGGTTAATTTTTGCCCTTAATATATGTTCAATATGTGTTGCCAGTGTTTAAATCTTAGATTTCACGTAAAGGTCTGAATGTCCTAGCTGTCTCAAAGAATCAGAAGGTCTGGAAGCCCTGTCCCTGCAGTCCTGATGGTGACAGGCTGGCTGGGTGAGTCCTACCTCAGCAGGGGCTTGAGTGCTGCAGATTGTGCTGGTTCTCACCCCTCTGTGTTGCATCCACCAAAGGAAAGCGAGTGTCATCTGGGATTTATCCTATTCCATCCAGCCCTCATTGCTTACATTGTTATCTTCCTGGCACCTTTTGGCACTGCATTTGCAACCCCAAATAAAATCTCTCTTCCACTTCCCTCACCCTAATTCTGATTCCAAATGCTCTGGTTCTGTATGTCTGAAACTCGTTTTTGCATTGTTCTCATTTCCCAAGAGTAGTTGGGCTTAAGGAATATTGATCTTTTTTTTTTTTTTTTTTTTTTTGAGACGGAGGTCTCGCGTGTCACCAGGCTGAGGTGCGAGTGAGCGCGATCTCGGCTCACTGCAAAGCTGCCGCCCTCCCAGGTTCACGCCATTCTCCGCCTGCAGCCTTCCGAGTAGCTGGAACTACAGGCGCCCGCCACCACGCTCCGGCTAGTTTTTTGTATTTTTGTAGAGACGGGGTTTCACCAGTCTCGATCTCCTGACCTCGTGATCCACCCGCCTCGGCCTCCCAAAGTGCTGGGATTACAGGCTTGAGCCACCGCGCCCGGCCAGGAATATTGATCTTAAAGTTGTTCTGCACACAAGTAATTCTATGACATTGTTTCCTCACCTGTTGGGAAGCTTTTGCCTCTGCACTTAATAGCCCATCTTGTTTTCATTTCTTCTCATTCCTGGGGGGCCAGGTTTGGTGTTGATGGTAATGGTGGGGCAGGAAGAAATGCCTTCAAGTCATCTCTGGGATGACCACTGAGCTATGACCAGCAAGCTGGGACCACTGACTTGGTGGAATGGCCTTAGTGAGTAACAGACTGCAGTGATGTGTCAGCTTTCTTATGGCACAGGAACAACCAAATCTCTTATATTTCAGTGGCCTGGTTCCCAATAGACCCTGCAGGCCCTACAGGTCGTCTTCCCCAGCTGCCCCTTGCTTCACACCACTACCTTCCACTCCATAATATTATAGAAGGACACCTAGTCAGACAAAATGATATAACTTAATTTTATTAGGACAAGGTTGGTGGGCACTGGAGTGGCACCTTCCGGGGCCAGGACAGGCACTGGGGAGGGGTCACAGGATGCCATGCGGGCACCTAGAAGCCACAGCTGCCCTCCACAGCGCGGCACTGCACCATGTGCAGGAATGTCTCGACCATGTCCATGTCCTTCCTGAAGCAGTGGAGCAGCCCATAGTTCTTGAGCAGTGTGTCATCGTTCTGTGAGTCTGTGTCAAATGTGCTGTAGGTCTGCTTGAAGATCTGCCCAGTCCGGGGGCTGCCATCTTGCAGCCTCTGCAAAGTGAAGGAAGAGAAGGAGAGGCTGAGCGCTTGGTCACTGTTCTCTCCCTCCCTCTCTCATTCATTCATTTTCCTCCCTCCCCTTCAGGGTGTAGAGAAAGACCTGGAGGATTCACCAGGGGAAATGAAGACTAAGGTGAGTTCACTTGGGTCAGGGCCTGACTGCTAAAAAGAGGGCAGCAGTGTTTCTCTCCCCCAGCCCTCGAAGCCAGTAAGGTTCCAGGATTGGGGAACCCTGGCGCCACCCTCACCCGCATCAACGTTTGGATGCCTTCCTCTAGGTTCTTTAGGAGGTCATAGACGTCGCTCTCCGAGGTGCCATACACCAGGTTGTTGGCAAACACACTCCCAAGTAACTGCACGGGCTCCAGCCACGACTGGATGAGAAGCAGGGAGATGCGGAGCAGCTCTAGGTTCTGCAGGGGAAGGACACGCAGTGGCTGTGCTGCCCGGGGGCTCTGACCACAGGCCTCCCCTATCCCCACCTTGGGGAGAAGGCATCCACTCACGGATTTCTGCTGCGTTTCCTCCCTGTTGGAGGGTGTGGGAATAGACTCTGAGAAGCAGAAGGAGGCCTGGGGGTTCTCCATGAGCGAATGCTTCTTTTCCTTTGGGATGTAGGTTTTTTCCTAGGAGAAGGACCCCCCCACCAAGAGGGACTGCTGGTCTCTATGTTGGAGACCAGCTTCCATTGTTACTTCTCTGAGAACCTCGCTCAGTGTATGCTCATCTGCCGGCATTTTCGCTTCAGAAAACAACCCTGAGCTCCTTAGTCTCCTCCCATGACTTCCCAGGCGGGGGAAAGTCACCCCTTCCTGCCACCCCTGACATGCACCCATTCCCCAAGAGCTTACAAACTCCTGGTAGGTGTCAAAGGCCAGTTGGTGCAGGCGATGGGCTTGGATCATAATGTTGTCAAAAAGCCTGGATAAGGGTACGCTTGGGACCCTACCAGCCTCTTGAAGCCAAGGCAGGCAGAGGAGGGCAAAAACCAGGAGCAGGGATGTCCGGGAGCCTGGGGAGAAACCGGAGGGCAACGGAGGGAGCCAGAGAGCAAGAGGCCAGTGCTCTCCCTGCCCCAGGAGCTGTTTGTTTTTCTCTCTCCATCCCTCCAGGGACCAGGAACATTCTGATATTGGTTAAATATCTGGGCTTAGATGGCGATACTCACATTCAGAAGCCCCAAACCTGAGGGTTAGTGCCCCCGTTCCATCTACATGGCGCCACCTCTCCCCTCGGGACACATCGTGTCGAAAGGGATTTTAGGGGCGCTTACCTGCAGCCATTGCAGCTAGGTGGGCTGTCCACAGGACTCTGAGTGGTTCGGGCAGTCGGGCTTTGAGATCCTGGAGCTGGTCTCCTGTGGGCTCTTTTTATACCCTGGCCCCTTATCTCTGGCTGCTTGACCCCACTTATTTCTCTGTACGTTTACGCATGGGGCCCCTGACGCGGCTGTGCTAGTGGCTAATTTAGAAACTCCTCCCACACATGCTGGGATCATGCCCCCTGGCTTGTCATGTTTCCCTTCCCACCGTCACCAACACTGTGAGGGTTGTGCACAGAGGGTCAGCCAGAGATACTACCCAACCTGTCCTCTCTTTAAGGGTCAGGTGGGTGCCCTCTGGCAGCACGCCATGGTGGCCAACCTGAGTGCGGGGAAGGATGTCATGATAGCCAGTCCTTAAGACCCCTACCGACCCCATCCCACCCTCTATCCTATCCCTTTCCTCCTCCTCGCATATTTCCCCTCCACCAAGCAGAGAGAATGTGTGTTTTGGGAAAAGGCGCCAAGCACAGACAATAGATTGCAGGGGTTCTGGGCAGGATTCAGTCCTGAATTCCACTTTTGCTGACTCCTCCTGGGCCAGCCCGAGGCAGCTGGAAGCAGTGCTAATACTGACCACTAGAGGGTACCAACCCCACACTTTGCTCTCCTCTTTCCCTGAGCCTTGGGGCGGGGGCGGGGGGCTCCCCCAGGTCCCTGGGAGGACGAATGTAGACTTGAGGTATTGCCCCAGGTCCTTGGACCTGCAGCAGGGATACGTACCAAGAAACAGAAATCCTGGGGACAGACACGGACCACAAGCGCTTCGTCCTATGCCCTGAAACCATCAGAGAATCTAAAAGTTGTAAGAGCTCTTGAAGGTTTGAGTCTCTTCCCCAGCTTTGGAACTCAGAACACATCACACCGAAAGATGCCCTGGATTAAAAAAAAAAAGTCCTTTCTCCAGAGCAGGTAGTGTGGTGCTACTCAGTTATTTAGTTATTTTAGTTGCTTTATTTTATTTTATTTCTTTTTTGTGATGGAGTCTCATTCTGTCACCCAGGCTGGAGTGCAGTGGCATGATCTTGCCTCACTGCAACCTCCACCCCTGGGTTGAAATGATTCTCCCTCCTCAGCCTCCCTAGTAGCTGGGATTACAGGCTCCCACCACTATGCCGGGCACTTTGTACTTTTAGTAGAGATGGGGTTTCAGTATGTTGGCCAGGCTGGTCTCGAACTCTTGATTTTAGGTGATCCGCCCTCCCTGGCCTCCCAAAATACTGAGATCACTGGCATGAGCCACCGCTCCCAACCCAGTAATTTCAGCTTCTAAATCCCTCTAAGTGCAGGGATCCTGCCCCCAACACAAGGGGCTCTTTGCCTCATTTTGTCTTTCCATAAGGGGCAGCTTGTTCTTTCTCTGTTCCCAGGTGAGAATGGCCCAGTGGCATGGGGTGCCTTGTAGAAACCTCACAGCAGGACAAGGCGAAGGCAGAGAAGGCCAGGACTGAGCCTCCTGTCTCCTGGTGCCCAGAGTTGGGGCTATTTCAATACCATCTGGAGGTCACAAGCATCAGATGCCCCCAGAGGTGACAGCAGGAAAGAACATCCTCACGGGCACTGAAATCATCCCCCGCTGAGTTTAAGAGCATCTAGCACTTGACGCTATAGAAACAGAAGCAAGGAAGCAAGGAAACGCTTCTAGAAGTGGTTGGCTGTGGTGTTGGCAACCAACATTGAAAACCCACAGCCCTGTAGCCCAGGATGTGAATGCTGGGGCCCTGCCATCTCCCCCCTTTCGGAGCAGAAGACAGACCTCCTTTTTCTGCCGTCATTCCTGAAGCATTACCTGACCAGCAGCCCAGACTCGTCATCTGCTGGGAGGGCCCTGGGCTGTGGGCTGTTCTCCAGGCAGGGCTGCAAGAGGGTCCAATAGGGGTGTCATCAATGATACCAGCTCTGAGAAAGCTAGGGCCAAGGGAGGGTGGAGACACCACTTTCCCCATGCTCCTTCCAGCACCAGCAAAGAGGAGGAGCCAGGTGGGAATGGAGGAGGGTCCCTGAGCTCCACTTAGCTTCTGCCTCCCCCACCATCCTTCCTCCAGTGTGAACTGGGACAGATGGCACCCCATGACAGGGTCTTTCAGCCAGTGTTGGGGACTTAGATGTGGATTTTCGGCCATGGAAGAAGTCTCCAGTCTCCCTTAGGAATGAGCCCTAGCAGGGGCCCTAACTGGGGACCACTGCACAACTCCGCAGATAGGCACGGGGGTGGTGAGGCTCCCTAGACGGGTTACTGCCAGGAACACGTGGGAGCAGCCAGGGTACGGGAGTGTCTCCTGTCACCTCTCCTCTTCTGTTGACCCCAGAGTTATGGTGACTCAGAGGACTCCAGGGAACCCTGGGGAAACAACTTTACAAAGCGTTACCATGGCAACTATGAACCAGAGGGAAGAACTGAGGCCCACAGGTGTGGGCAGAAGTCGGTGATCCTTTTCTGTAGTCTAGATCTTCCCAGGGCCTTGAGCAATGGAGACCACGTCCATCATTCATTGCTAGTAAAAAATCAACTTTGAATTAGACTTGAGATTTTCCTGACAGTTCTGGGAAGTGGCCCACTGTTGGGGCATCACTTGGGGCCAGATCCCTGGCTCCTGCAGGCTGAGAGACTACCGAACAAGAGCCTCCGCATGGCCAGTGGGGAGAGGCTGGGCTTCGCATCTCTGGTTTCAGCCTCAAAAGGCTCAGGATAGGCCAGACACTGTGGCTCACACCTGTAATCCCTCCACTTTGGGAGGCCGAGGTGGGTGGATCATGAGGTCAGGAGTTCAAGACCATCCTGGCCAAGATGGTGAAATCCCGACTCTACTAAACAAACAAAAATTAGCCGGGCATGGTGGCAGGCGCCTGCAATCCCAGCTACTCAGGAGGCTGAGGCAGGGAATTGCTTGAACCCGCAACATGGAGGTTGCAGTGAGCTGAGATCACGCCACTGCACTCCAGCCTTGGTGACAGAGTGAGACTCTGTATCAAAAACAAAACAAAACAAGACAAAAAGCTCAGGATAATCTCACAATCATCTTGGTTCCTTTAAAGAACCTCCCTTTATAATTTAGGATTAATGAATTTCTCTGTGTGTTTGGAAGCCCTTCCTATGTCCAACCTTGACTAACTCTAGGGTTCTGTTTGCCTGCTGTGGAATGTCGCAGATCTCCTGTTGATCCTAAGGTGGTGTCTTTCAGGCTTTGAGACCTCCTGTTAGGTTCAAGACTGTGGGGTTGAGGACAATCACATTTTTCGAAGCCATACTCACCGGGTCTTAGGGATCGCCTCCGAGGGACTGGTGGGCGCTCCTTCCACTCCCACTTTGGTGATTTGCAGCGCACACTTCCCACCTGCAGCTCTGTTCTTTCTTCCTTGAGATCAGAGGCTGGTTATCGTACTGGGACATACTCTACCTCCTTTTGGCTTCTAATGCCCTTTTTCTGAGTTCGGTACCGAGTCAATTACTCAGCTCATTGGATTAAGGTCTTCAGGGAATATTATGTGGGGATTCCCAAGGGCTCTCCTAGGGGAGGTGAGGAAGATGATCAATACTTCTGCGTGTCCACCATGTGCTTGGCACTCTACTGAGCCATAGGGATGTGAGTGAGGATACTGAGGCTCAAAGAGATCAGGTGGCTTGCCTGGAGCTCTCCCACTATCCAAGGCCTATCCAAGGCCCCCGGGCTTTCCTTCCATGGCAAGATCTTTAGAAACCTCATCTAGTAAAGATGGTGGCACTACTAGGCATGGACAGAACTTGCCTCAGTGCAAAGCTAGCAGGACAGGGGTCAAGTCCCTGCACAGAGGATGTTCCATGAAGATGGGGGGAATTGAACACAAGGAATTCAGCAGCAGAATGAGGTGTCCATAGGCATTAAGGAAAGTGGTAGAAAACAACCACCCAGCGTAGCTCGGTTTCGTGAACCGAGGCACATCATGCTGCATATTTGTATTGCACGTTTCAGTGTACATCGTGTTTCACTTCCTGTATCTCGTTGGACCCTTAAGCTTGCCACATGATATGGCCGGGGGGTTCAGGCACAGGGGGTGGGGGGTTCAGGCACAGAGGGGGGTTCAGGCACGGAGAAAGGGCCTCGGAAGGCTTGGGGAGGAGAGGGGCAGGCACTGTTGTGTGTTGATGGGGTATTGTTTGCATTGGTTGATGATCTCTGAACAACCAAGAAGTACATAACGATCTACCTAACCGGACGTGCTAAGAAATTTCACTTTGGGGATGATTCTCCAGGGAGACAATCCATTGATAGAGAAGTGAAAAACATCGAGATGTGTCTAGTAGTTGTAAGAAGTCTGGGGTGCTTTCCTGATGGGGTGTCCTCAGCTGGAAATAGCCTCTCCTTCCTTTGACCTGTCCTGTGGCTATTTGCAGACATTTTGTTCCTCTTACCAGACTGTAAGCTCTTTGAGGCTGGATTTCTTTTCTTTTCTTTTTGTTTTTTGAGATGGAGTCTTGCTCTGTTGCCCAGGCTGGGGTGCAGTGGCACGATCTCAGTTCACTGCAAGCTCTACCCACCCCGGGTTCACGCCATTCTTCTGCCTCAGCCTCCTGAGTAGGTGGGACTATAGGCTGTCCGCCAGCACACCCAGTTAATATGTTGCATTTTTAGAGATGGGTTTTCACCGTGTTAGCCTGGATGGTCTTGAACTCCTGACCTTGTGATCCACCCGCCTCGGCCTTCTAAAGTACTGGGATTACAGGCGTGAGTCACTGTGCCCGGCCTGAGGCTGAATTTCTGCCTTTCGTCTATTCATTCTTTCACTCATTCTTCTATTCGTTCATTCACCGATTCCACAAGTAGTTGTTGTCTATAACATTTGCCAGAGATTGTACCAGGCAGATGGGCATATCTAGATAAACAAAACACATGATCCTTTCTCTTCTGGAGCTAACAATCTACTGGCAGCAGAGATAATAGCAAACAAGTAAATATGTAACAGTAAAATAGAAATTTCGAATTCGAAACATTCCCATGAGGTAAATAGGTAAGATATGGAGGGAGGGAATAAACCAGAAGGTGACAAGACGAGGCAGCTGGCACAGCTCTAGGCCCAGGAATTCAACAAGCATCTACTGAGTGGACCCAGCACATGAGAGGACAGTGCTAAGTAGAGAAGTCAAATGTCCAGTGGGCTGGGCATGGCCAGGTCGCCCATACTGTGTCTGGACGTCCTCCTGCTGGTATAATTATTTTAAAATGACAGGACAGGGAAGGGCGCCATGGCTCATGCCTGTAATCCCAGCAATTTGGGAGGCCAAGTTGGGCAGATCACCTGAGGTCAGGAGTTGGAGACCAGTTTGGCCAATATGGTGAAACCCCGTCACTACCAAAAATACAAAAATTAGCTGAGCCTGGTCGCGCATGCCTGGATCCCAACTATTTGGGAGACTGAGGCAGGAGAATCGCTTGAACCCAGGAGGCAGAGGTTGCAGTGAGCTAAGATCGTGCCAGTGCACTTCAGCCTGGTTCCCAATAGACCCCGTGGGCCCTACAGGTCGTCTTCCCAACCTGCCCCTTGCTCCATATCACCACCCTCCTCCCCATAACATTATAGAAGGACACCTAGTCAGACAAAATGATGCAACTTAATTTTATTAGGACAAGGCTGTTGGACACTGGAGTGGCACCTTCCATGGCCAGGAGTGGCAATTGGGAGGGGTCACAAGGGATGCCACCCAGGCATCTAGAAGCCACAGCTGCCCTCCACAGCGCGGCACTGCACGGTGCGCAGGAATGTCTCGACCTTGTTCATGTCCCTCCTGAAGCAGTAGAGCAGCCTGTAGTTCTTGAGCAGTGTGTCATCGTTGTGTGAGTTTGTGTCAAACTTGCTGTAGGTCTGCTTGAAGATCTGCCCAGTCCGGGGGCTGCCGTCTTCCAGCCTCTGCAAAGTGAAGGAAGAGAAGGAGAGGCTGAGCGCTTAGTCACTGTTGCCTCCCTCCCGCTCTCATTCATTCGTTTTCCTCCCTCCCCTTCAGGGTGTGGAGAGAGGCTTGGAGGATTCACGAGAGGAAATGAAGACTAAGGTGAGTTCTCTTAGGTCAGAGCCTGACTGCTAAAAAGAGGGCAGCAGTTTCTCTCCCTCACCCCTCGAAGCCAGTGGGGTTCCAGGATTGGGAACCCCTGGGGTCACCCTCACCCACATCAGCGTTTGGATGCCTTCCTCTAGGTTCTTTAGGTAGAGATAGACGTTGAAGTTCGAGGCGCCATACACCAGGTTGTTGGTAAACACACTCCTGAGGAACTGCACGGGCTCCAGCCACGACTGGATGAGCAGCAGGGAGATGCGGAGCAGCTCTAGGTTCTGCAGAGGAAGGACCAGCGGTTGCTGTGCTGGCCGGGGGCTCTGATCACAGGCCTCCCCCATCCCCGCCTGGGGGAGAAGGCATCCACTCACGGATTTCTGTTGTGTTTCCTCCTTGTTGGAGGGTGTCGGAATAGACTCTGAGAAGCAGAGGGAGGTCTGGGGGTTGCGCAGGAATGAATACTTCTGTTCCTTTGAGATATAGGCTTCTTCCTAGGAGAAGGACCACCCACCAAGGTCTACCCTGCAGACCAGCTCCTATTGTTACTTTTCTGGGAACCTCACTCAGCGTACGCTCATCTGCCTGCATTTCTGCTTCAGAAAACAACCCTGAGCTCCTTAGTCTCCTCCAAGGACTTCCCAGCGAGGGAAAGTCACCCCTTCTTGCCACCCCTGATGTGCACCCATTCCCCAAGAGCTTACAAACTTCGGGTACGTGTCAAATGCCAGCTTGTGCAGGTGATGGGCGCGGAGCACAGCGTTGTTAAAAAGCCAGGATAAGGGAATGGTTGGGAAGGCACTGCCCTCTTGAAGCCAAGGTAGGCAGAGCAGGGCAATAGCCAGAATTAGGCATGTCCAGGAGCCTGGGGAGAAACCGGAGGGCAACAGAGGGAGCCAGAGAGCAAGAGGCCAGTGCTCTCCCTGCCCCAGGAGCTGTTTGTTTTTTCTCCCTCCCTCCAGGGACCAGGAACATTCTGAGATTGGCCAAATATCTGGGCTGAGATGCCCCCGTCCCATCTACAGGGCTCTGCCTCTCCCCTCAGGACACATCGTGCAGAAATGGATTTTAGGGGCGCTTACCTGCAGCCATTGCAGCTAGGTGAGCTGTCCTCAGGACTCTTAAGTGTTTCAGGGAGTCGGGCCTTGGGATCCTGGAGCTGGTCTCTTGTGGGCCCTTTTTATACCCTGGCCCCTTATCTCTTGCTGCTTGACCCCACCTATTTCTCTGTATGTTTATGCATGGGGCCACTGATGTACCTGTGCTAATGGCTAATTTAGAAGCTCCTCCCACACATGCTGGGATCATGCCCCCTGGCTTGTCATCTTTCCCTTCTCACCGTTACCAGCATCGTAAGAGTTGTGCACAGAGTGTCGGCCAGAGATACCACCCAACTTGTCCTACCACCAGAGGAGCAGGTGGGTGCCCTCTGGCAGCACATCATGGTGGCCAACCTGAACACGGGGAAGGATGTCAGGATAGCCAGTCCTCGAGACCCCTACAGACCCCATCCCACTCTCTATCCTATCCCTTTCCTCCTCTTCACATGTGTCCCCTCCACCCAGCAGAGAGAATGTGTGTGTTGCGAAAAGGCACCAAACACAGCCAATAGATTGTGGGGGTTCTGGGCACGATTCAGTCCTGAATTCCACTTTTGCTGACTCCTCCTGGGCCCGCCTGAGGCAACTGGATGCAGTGCTAACACTGACCACTAGAGGGAACCAACCCCACACTTTGCTCTCCCCTTTCCCTGAGCCTCGGGCGGGCGGTGGTGGTGGGGGGGAGCTCCCCCAGGTCCCTGGGGATGAAGAACCCAGACTCATGGTATTGCCCCAGCTCCTTGGACCTGCAGCAGAGATGCAAACCAAGAAACAGATGTCCCGGGGACAGACACGGACCACAAGCGCTTCCTCCCCTAGACCTGAAACCATCAGAGAATCGAAAAGTTGGAAGAGCTCTGGAAGGTTTGAGTGTCTTTCCCAGCTTTGGAACTCAGAACACATCAGGCCGAAAGATGCCCTCTCCAGCCATGGAAGCCCCTCCTCTTTTTTCTCCCCCTCCTTTCCAGAGCTGTATAGAGCTTATCCAGTTGCCAAGGGCCTGCCTGTGCATTCTCACGTCAGACCTGCCACTTGTCTTGTGAAGGAGGTGTTATTATCATCCCGTTTCACAGGTCAAGACACTGAGGCTGAGAGAGACTGATTACATGAGCTACCTCAGCCAGGGCAGCAGATCTCCACAACCTTGCTCTTCCCACATTGTGTTATTCAAAGTCCTTTCTCCAGGCCGGGCACGGTGGCTCATGCCTGTAATCCCAGCACTTTGGGAGGCTGAGGTGGGTGGTTCACTTAAGGTCAGGAGTGCAAGACCAGACTGGCCACCATGGCAAAACTCCATCTCTCCTAAGAATACAAAAATTAGCTGGACGTGGTGGCACAAGCCTGTAAAAGTGGGAGGCTGAGGCAGGAGACTCACTTGAACCCAGGAGGCAGAGGTTGCCGTGAGCCAAGATCGTGCCACTGCACTCCAGCCTGCGTGACAGAGCGAGTCTCCATCTCAAAACAGATTAAAAAAAAAAGTCCTTTCTCCAGAGCAGGTAGTGTGGTGCTACTCAGTTATTTAGTTATTTTAGTTTCTTCATTTTATTTTTATTTTTATTTTTGAGATGGAGTATCATTCTGTTGCCCAGGCTGGAGTGCAGTAGCACAATCTTGCCTCACTGCAACCTCCACCTCCTGGGTTCAAGTGATTCTCCCTCCTCAGCCTCCCTAGTAGCTGGGATTACAGGCACCCGCCACTATGCCGGGCTAAGTTTTGTACTTTTTTAGTAGAGACGAGATTTCAGTATGTTGGCCAGGCTGGTCTCGAACTCTTGAGTTGAGATGATCTACCCTCCCTGGCCTCCCAAAATAGTGAGATGGCGCGAGCCACTGCTCCCAACCCAGTTATTTCAGCTTCTAAATCCCTCTGAGTGCAGGGATTCTGCCCACAACATAAGGGGCCTTTTGCCTCATTTCGTCTTTCCATAAGGGGCAAATTGTTCTTTCTCTATTCCCAGGTGAGAATGGCCCAGTGGCATGGGGTGCCTTGTAGAAACCTCACAGCAGGACAAGGTGAAGGCAGAGAAGGCCAGGACTGAGCCTCCTGTCTCCTGGTGCCCAGGGTTGGTGCTATTTCAATACCATCTGGAGGTCACAAGCATCAGATGCCCCCAGAGGTGAGAGCGGGAAAGAACATCCTCACGGGCACTGAAATCATCCCCCGCTGAGTTTAAGAGCATCTAGCACTTGACGCTGTAGAAACACAAGCAAGGAAACAAGCAAACGCTTCTAGAAGTGGTTGGCTGTGGTGTTGGCAACCAGCAATGAAAACCCACAGCCCTGTGGCCCAGGATGTGAATACTGGGGCCCTGCCGTCTCCCGTCTTTCAGAGCAGAAGACAGACCTCCTTTTTCTGCCGTCATTCCCGAAGCATTACCCGACCAGCAGCCCAGACTCATCATCTGCTGGGAGGGCCCTGGGCTGTGGACTGTTCTCCGGGCAGGGCTGCGGGAGGATCCAAGAGGGGTGTCTTCAATGATACCAACTCTGAGAAAGCTGGGGCCAAGGGAGGGTGGAGACACCACTTTCCCCATGCTCCTTCCAGCACCAGCAAAGAGGAGGAGCCAGGTGGGAATGGAGGAGAGTCCCTGAGCTCCACGTAGCTTCTGCCTCCCCCACCATCCTTCCTCCAATGTCAACTGGGACGGACAGATAGCACCCCGTGACAGGGCCTTTTAGCTAGTGCTGGGGACTTAGATGTGGGTTTTTGGCCATGGAAGAAGTCTCCAGACTCCCTTAGGAATGAGGGTGGCAGGGGCCCTAACTGGGGATCACTCCAGAACTCCGTAGATGGGCACAGGGCTGGTGAGTTTCTTCAGACAGGTTACTGCCAGGAACACGTGGGACCAGCTAGGGCAGGGAGTGTCTCCTGTCTCCACTTCTGTTGACCTCAGAGTTATGGTGACTCAGAGGACTCTAGGGACCCCTGGGGAAACAACTTTACAAAGCGTTACCATGGCAACCATGGACCAGAGGGAAGAACTGAGGCCCACAGGTGTGGGTAGAAGTCGATGATCCTTTTCTCTAGTCTAGATCTTCCCAGGGCCTTAAGCAATGGAGACCATGTCCATCATTCATTGCTAGTAGAAAATCAACTTTGAATTAGACTTGGGATTTTCCTGACAGTCGTGGGAAGTGGCCCACTGTTGGGGCATCACTTGGGGCCAGATCCCTGGCTCCTGCAGGCTGAGAGACTACCCAACAACAGCCTCCACATGGCCTTCGCATCTCTGGCGTCTGCTTCAAAAGGCTCAGGATAGGCTGGGCCTGGTGGCTCACGCCTGTAATCCCAACAGTTTGGGAGGCCGAGACAGGTGGATCACCTGAGGTAAGGAGTTTGAGACCAGCATCGCCATCATGGTGAAACCCATCTCTACTGAAAATAGAAAAATTAGCTGCTCATGGTGACGTGCGTCTGTAATTCTAGCTATTGGAGAGGCTGAGGCATGAGAATTGCTTGAACCCGAGAGGCAGAGGTTGCCATGAGCCAAGATCATGCCTCTGCACTCCAGCTGGGGCAACAGAGTGAGACTGACTTTGTCTCCAAAAAAAAAAAGAAAAAAGAAATAAAGTAGAAAAATCCTAATCTCTGAGGTCACCATTATCTAGCTCCTTACCCACTGAGAAGCACAGATGGGAAGCAGGAGCCCCAGGGCCACCATGGCTCGAGCAGCATTATCATTTAGTCGGAATCCATAAGAACACCCTAGGTTTCATCTGGGACTCCCTGCCCATGGGGAAGATGGGAAAGAAGAGTTGGCTCAAAGCAGAGATCTGCTAGTGCTCCCTTGGTAAGGAAAGCTGTTGGGTGGAGGGGACCACATTTGGGTGAGGAGAGGGAGCAGGGTGTGAAGGTAGTGAGGGAGTGTGGTGCACCGAACTCAGCTCTTTGGGAAACCGTTTTTGCAGACAAGCCATGGTTAGAGGAATCCCGATGCTCTGGCAAACAGACCTGGCTGGAAGGGATGGAACACAGGCTTGCTTGTGTCCCAGAGGGAAACCCAGCTCCAGCCTTGGTGTGTACCTGGAATGGGGTGGTCTTTGACCTTGAAGTGCCACAGAAGGCAACCCAGAACCACACTGGAGCCTACTGCTGCACAGCCACTAACCAGCTGGGCTCTGTCAGCAAAGACATTGCTGTCATTGTTCAAGGTAAACTTTGCTGCTCTGCTGCCGGGCGGAGGATGGAAATCCCTCAGGGGTTTGGGATTCTTATCCAAGGATGAAAATAAGAAAGTTTCTACTAGGTTGGGAAGAATGAGACTCAGAAGTGGGCCTGGTGGGCTGGGGTGGGTGATCTTCGTACTATCAGACCTTCCTAACTCTGTCTTCTGTGCTCAGACAGGATTGGATGAAGGAATCAGCTCTGCCCTCTTTGTCGTTATTACCGTTGCCCTTGGAGTGGGTGTCATCACCATAGCACTGTATTTGAGCTATCGGCCCTGCCAAGTGGACGGGAGGAAATTGCTCTATAGACAGAAAGAGGAGGACAAAGAGGAGAAAAGCCAGTTTACTGTTGAGGAAGAGAAAAGTACAACTCATACAATTGACAGCTATTTGATTGAATGAGACTTCTGTTATTGTGGTTTCCCAGGGAGGGAAGAAGGGATAGAGGAGAAAGGAAGAAACAGAATGGCAGGCTGCATTACCCTTTGTGTTCTTCTGTCTGTAAAACAGTGTTTCAGGCCCCCATGTCCCATGTCTTGTGTGTCCAGTATGTCCACAAGCTCACCTTTCCCTCTATCTCTCTCCCCTCCTTTTTTTTCTCTTTTTGAGATGGAGTCTCACTGTTGTCACCTAGGCTGGAGTGCAATGATGCAGTCTCGGCTCACTGCAACTTCAGCCTCCCAGGTTCAGGTGATTCTCCTGCCTCAGCCACCCCAGTAGCTGGGATTACAGGTGCACACCACCACGCCTGGCTGCCATTTCTTTATGGTTCCCACTGCCCTTTCTCTTAAACGTCATGCTAAAGACAGGCACATCTTAGAAATGCAACTCATATTTCATGGTTTTCTGATTTCTAACTGGGAACTCAATTTGTACTCCAGGGACAGGACTTTGAAGGGAGTAAGTATCAAATACGGGGCTAGGAGTCAGAGCTCTGTTCCCATCTCCACTTTTCCTTGCTCCCCTGACCTGGGCTTCTGGAGTGCCAGCTCCCAGAGACATCACTAAGGATCAGTGGCAAGCTTCAACTCAGTAACCATCTGTTGTGGGTCTTGGGGGAGTATACAGATGGTAAGAAATTCCACTTTGGGCCAGACAAGCATCCTATCTAGCCCAGTGTTCTGTCTGTGAAGTAGAAGGTAGAGTTCTTCCACGGAATTGGCGTCATAGGTTAAGCACTCCAAACATCTCTGAATTCCTTTTCACAGAGAGATCAACTGTGAGTTCGCATTTGCCAGTTTTCTTTTTTTTACCCATATGGGCGTCTAGGTTACAGTTCCAATGTTTACTCTCCCTTTTCATCAACAAGTGGATATTTTCATCTGTCTGAAAACAATTTCCCTGAAACTTCAAGAGGAATCCTCTTGTGAAAATGTTCATATGATTTTATGATTCAGCTTCCTTCCCTGTCCTTGGGAAAGAGTATATTCACCCTCGGAGAAGGCATGAGGAATCATAAAACCAGATCTTTTCTTCCAAATCAGTCAAGAAATGTTCACTGAAATGTTGCTATGGTAAAAATAAAAGTGATTTTATGATATCCAAATGCATTTCTCTACCCTTCTGTGCCATTGCTGAAAGCTCTTATTATGTCAAACAGTTGCATTTTATAATTTTTTTTTTTTAAATGGAGTCTCGCTCTGTTGCCCAGGCTGGAGTGCAGTCGCGCAATTTCGGCTCACTTCAAACTCCACCTCCCGGGTTCAAGCAATTCTCTGCCTCAGCCTCCAGAGTAGCTGGGATTACAGGTGCCCACCATCATGCCCAGCTAATTTTTTGTGTTTTTAGTAGAAACAGAGTTTCACTATCTTGGCCAGGCTGGTCTTGAAGTCCTGACCTTGTGATCCACGCACCTCGGCCTTCTAAAGTGCTGGGATTACAGGTGTGAGCCACCGCTCCCAACTGCATTTTATAACTTTAAGGACAATTTCTAAGAAAAAACACCGTGTTGATAGCATAAACAACCAGCCCAGGGCAGGGGGTGCATTAGCTCAGGGCAGCAGCCTATTTGACCTGCTTTCAAAACTAAAATTCAGGCCGGGGGCGGTGGCTCACACCTGTAATCCCAGGTCTTTGAGAGGCTGAGGCAGGCGAATCACTTGAGCCCCAGAGTTGGCAAATATCCTGGACAACATGGTGAAACCCCATTTCTACAAAAAATACAAAACTTATTGTACTATACTGGCACGTGCCTGTAGTCCCAGCTACTTGAATCTGCGGACTCAGAGAGTCTGAGGTGGGAGGATCACTTGAGCGCGGGAGGTGCAGGGTTGCAGCTAGTTGAGATCATGCACTGCACTCCAGCCTGGGTGACAGAGCCAGACCCTGTCTCAAAAACAAAACAAATGAAACAAAAACAAAAACTGAAGTTCAGACTTCCAGATAGAGAGAGGTGCGTAGCCTTCCAAATTGCAGATACTAGCTAGAAAAAATCGTGGCATCAGACACCAGAGAGAAAACATTTTCCCATTCTTCTCAGACCTCCTCTGAGTCTGGTGTTATAGATTAAGTATAAAAATAACCCTTTGGTTTCACCACATACAAAGCAGTGGGGATGCAGCGGTGAACAAAACATTGTCCCTGGCTTCCACAAATTTATTAGGAAAGCTATTTAGACAAACAAGTAGGAGATTACATTTGTGCATGAACTCCTATGACTGGGAAAGCAGATTGTTAAGAGAAAGCATAACTCAGATCAAAGAAGGCTTCCTGGAGGGACATGAAATATCTTGACTTTGCAAAATAGCATCATCCCCCAACATGACCTTTTCAACCTCAATGTTTCCACTAGGTGGAGCTACTGCTCTCTCATCATGTGAGTCTGATATAAATCATCCACCTTCCCTGAATCGAGCATTTGGGGAAGTAAGTTAAGAAGCAGGTTTCAGAGACAGGAGTATAGAGCCGCCCCATCCGGGGATCCACAGCCATTTCGGTGTCAGGATCAGTTGCATCAGGGCTGTAGTTATCCTTTATCTGCAAACCCTGCCTCATGGCCTCAGTGTCTTGAAGCACAGCAAATCTAAAAAGGAAGGGAAAAATGAGCCAGGCGTGGTGGTGTGCACCTGTAATCCCAGCTACTGGGGAGGCTGAGGCAGGAGAATCGCTTGAATCTGGGGCGTGGAGGTTGCAGTGAGCCGAGATCGCGCCATTGCACTTCAGCCTGGCCAACTGAGCAACACTCACGTCTTGAAGAAAATGAAAACAAAAACAAACAAACAAACACAAAACAAAACAAACAAAACCAAAAAGGGAGGGAAGAAGGGGGCCACTTGGACTTTCTAGTTCCAGCAGGGAGAGCCTGGAGGCTTAGCCGGCTGCTGCCTTTGCTTGTCACTGCCACAGGGTGTCAGTGTTGACAGATGGTCCCACACAGTACCATCAAACCAAGTGGGTCTGCAGATCCAGGTTCCCAGCTGCTGTGGATCTCTGAGGGAGGATGATCTCCTTCTTCGGGGCCTAGTCCAGCTGCGCTTGTCCTCTTGCTTGGGTTTCCAGGGTTCCAGTTCTTAGAGCTCAGTAGTTTGGAAGAGCTGTCCCGCAACGGTCTTCAGAGTAGGCTGCAACCGGGGTTATTGGAACCCTTGTAGACTTGGGAACTCTTTGGCTTTCCTTCTGAAGATCCACCCACAGGGGTCAGCAGCCCTTCTTCACTGGATTCTTTTTTCTTTCTTTTTTTTTTTTGGAGATGGCAGTCTCGCTCTGCCTCCGTGAGTTCAGTGGCGTGATCTCGGGCTCCTGACTTCTGCCTCCTGGCTTCAAGCAATTTCTTGTCTCACCTCTGGAGTGCTGGGATTCAGGTGTGTGCCACCGTGTCCCGCTAATTTTTGCGTTATAGTAGGGACAGGGTGTCATTATGTTGGCCAGGCTGATCTCAAACTCCTGACCTCAGGTGATCTGCCCACCTCTCAAAGTGCTGGGATTTCAGGCTGGGCCACCATGCCCGGCTTCATTGATTCTTAAAGCAGGAAGGGTCTCACATCTCTCTTCCATTATAATAGAGCTTCTGAGGGTAGCTGCCTTCATTGTCTATAGGAGGAGGCCCCACCCCCTAAATGGTTTTGATCATATTCTTTCTGAACATTAAAGCAAGTGACTCACGCTTAAATTGCAGCTACCTTGATTATCTCCAGAGGAAGAGTGGCCTTTAATACTCCAAAAGTTTGCCATCTTTATTATTATTTTTGAGACAGAATATTGCTCAGCCACCCAGCTGCAGTGCAGTGGCATGATCAGCTCAGTGCAACTCTGCCTCCTGGGCTGGAGCGATTCTCATGCCTCAGTAGCTGGGAATACAGGTGTGCACCACCACACCTGGCTAATTTTTGCATTTTTAGTAAAGATGGGGTGACACCATGTTGGCCAGGCTGGTCTTGAACTTCTGACCTCCTCCCACCTTGGCTTCCCAAAGTGCTGAGATTACAGGCATGAACCACCGTGCCTGGCCGTTTATCCTCTCAAGGATGGTCAGGGTGACATTTTGGTGTCTTTCTCT